TAAAAGATTCATTCAACACTGTTATTACTGTAATGTTTTACTTATTTATTTATTTATTTATTATGTATTACTTGTGTTAAGAAATGCCAGCTAAGATTCTTCTGCGAGACAGATGCAGTCATCCAAAGAACCACGTCTGGGACCGTGAGCAATTGGGTCCCCGACCTGCACTATACTGTCTAATGCTGGGGTGTTCACACTATTTTTGGCATGGGAGGTGTTATTAAATATATATATATATATATATAAACTCATATGAACTGAGTATACTTTGTATATACACGATATTTTAAGGTGCTATGATTACATGCATGTAGCTGTATATGACTCAGTGTTTATATGGTTAATAATAGTAAGACCCACCGCGAAAAGTGGAGGCGAGATAGTTATCATCCATCCATCCATCCATCCATCCATCCATTTTCATCCGCTTATCCGTTACCAGGTTGCGGGGGCAGCAGTCCCCATGACCACCACCCAAATCACACTGCACCGTACCAACCCCCCTAAACCTTCCTGCAGGTGGTGAGTCCACTGGAAGGTACCAACCGTCCTAACTGGGATTCGAACTTGCCCAGGAGGTGAACCCTGGGGTTCCACACCAATGACAGAGGACATTGCCTCTGGGCCAAAGCGCCACTAGTTATCATATAACTTACATATATATTTACCCTTTACGAACCTCCCCCACACTGTTATCAACCCTCTCTAGGTGACGCAGGTGCAGCCCCGGATGCAGGTGAGCGCAGTTGGAGTAATCCAGCTCCTCTCCTTATATTAGTAGGAGCCGGGACCAAGGAGAGAGGAGAGTGAACAGAGGAGTGAATACTGGACGGACAAGACGGACAGACCGTATATGGAAGCCGGGCACAGCGCAGGAGAGCGCACATTATTGTGAAGAAAAATAAAGACTGTTAACCAGTCATCTGTGTCAGCGTCTTCGTTTGGGCTTAGTAACAGACGTTAAATCGTAGGACGTTAAATTAGGGTCAACTTTCACCAATTTGATCACATTCATTTATCAAGTCTTGATATACCAGAAATATTTAACTGCTACTGCGTGAAAGGAAAAAAAAAAATATTTACAAGAAACCACAGCTTGTCTAAAAAACCAAATACAGTGGAACCCGCGCTCGTGATTTACACACTAAGAACTTATTATATTGCGTTGTGTTATTTATTCTATTTTTTTAATTTCATAAATTGAAGTGAAAAAAGTGTATTATTACTATGTCTTGGTATTGGCTCCAGGCATTATGTTTTATACAGTATCTATTTCCCTGCTTCAGCTTTTCATTAGTTTGGGTTTAATTCCCTGTTATAGATTGTTTCAAACTAAAATGAGCATCTCCAATATCACATACTTTAAGGCTGTTGCTAAATGCCCTATAAAGATTTAGTTGTAGTATAATATTTGCTGATATCAGATTTACTCAATTAGATTTGTTATTAAAGAAAAAAGGAAAGATTAAAGTGGGGCTATACGCTCTACCACCCCCCCACCCTCCGAAAATACTATTGATCACCTGGTAATATTTATTTATTTATCTGTATAAACCACTGTATAAGTTGCTGGCACCAGCATTCTGCATGCAATCCCGTGATTATCGTCTTCTTTTTCTTTCGGCTTTGTCCCTTTTTCAGGGGTTGCCACAGCAAATCATTGATTTCCATCTCTCCCTGTTCTCTGCATCTTCTACTCTGACTCCAACTATCTGCATGTCCTCCCTCACTGCATCCATATATCTCCTCTTTGTCTCCTACCTGGTAGCTCCATCTCTAACATTCGTCTACCAATGCATCCACTGTCCCTCCTCTGCACATGTCCAAACCATCTCAATCTGGCTTCTCTAGTTTTTTCTCCTAACCTTCCTGTCTGTGTTGTCCCTCTAATGACCATTCCTGATCCAGCTCCGCCTCCTGTCTTCTGTCTATTGCTAGTGTCTCTAAACCATAAATCATGGCTGGTCTCACCACCGTCCTGTAAACCTTTCCCTTCACCTCAGCTGACACTCTTCTGTCACAGATCACTCTCAGACACTTTTCTCCAGCTGCCTGTACTCTATTCTTCACCTCTCTTCCACAGTCTCCTCTGCTCTGAACAGTTGATCCTAAGTAACTAAACTCCTGCACCTTCACCACCTCTGCTCCTTGTAACCTCACCATTTCACTGTTCTCCCCTTCATTTACACATGTGTACTCTATTTGAGAAGCACTTCCCCCAGAAACTACTGTAATAGTCACTCAATGTAGGGTTCATGCGTTATGTAGGAATTAACAGTTATGGAAGGAGGTGTGGTGAGAGCACTAGTGTGTGTATATGAGGAAGAGAGAGTGAGGAGAGTGTGAGAGGAGGGAAAAGGGAAAAAGGGAGAAGCTGGGTTGAGAGCAATGAAGGAGTTTAGAATAAGTTACTGCTATTGTGTTTCATCATTGGAGGGAAAACCGATAACAATTATTATTAATATATTATAATATATTAATTATTTAATTATCAATAATATCAACTGATATTATCGGACATCCCTAATTTTGGGAATTTGATCATTAGGGCAATCGCCTCCCTTTACCTGATGATTGACGGAACTGGCACCATTTTGTCCCATGAACCTGCTCAGGATTAAGCCATAGATCGTTAACTGGATCTATGGCCACCAATCAATCCAGTCCAATAACGTTAGACAAAAATTATATTTTTATTTAATTATATACGAGCATCCAGCCCTCGAGTTGATATAGTCTGTGATGACATACGTAGACAATAGATCAGGCAAGGCCAACCCACGGCTCTGGAGCAGCAAGTGGCAAGTACTTTCATGTCAAAGTTTGTGTTTGTGTTTTTTTAATTTTTTTATAGTATAATCTCACATTTTTTTTTTTTTTTTATAGTATAATCTCACTAGCGCAAAATTGTGGCTCTTAGCCTCAGACTAGTGGGATGGATGGTTGGATGGATTGATGCGAAAATGTAGATTTAATCGAACACACTGTGTTCTTTAAAAAACTCACTCATGGCAGTCTTTGATACGTTAGGACTGGAATGTGAAGCTGTTCAGTGTTTGAAATAACAACATTTACATCAGGACCAAAATATTATGCACAGAGCGAATGGTTTCAATATCATTAAGGCCAAATAACTGATAACTTCTTATGGCTTACGTGTTGATCTCTGTTTTTGTGGTATAAAGCACATAGTGTTCCAAAGTCTTGTTTTAAGCAGGCGGCAAATATGAGATAAGATATGTTTTGCCGCTAACAGAAGGGAGATTGGTATATTCAGCAGAAGTGCTAACAACACTAGTCAGACTAATTTAATAATCTGCAACAGATAGGTAGTTTTCAGGGTTGTGGGGGAGTTGGAGCTCATCCCCAGCAGGGAGGGGTCCTCGTTGGAGTTGGATCTTCTACGTTCTACTGTTAGTCCCACAACCGCATGAGCTGTACCATATAGTTCATTATGGTCAGTGGTGATTCTTGATTCTTCACATTGCTGTAAAGTTTTTTTTTTCCAGACAGCAGTGTCTTATAAGAATACTTTGATCAAAACTAGTTGTTGGTTCACCGATAACATTAAGCACTTAAAAGCATTTAAAAAAAATGTAAAAATAAATAAAAAAATAAGTTATCAGTAATTTTTTTTAATCAAATACTAGACATTTTACGCAACCCCATTTGGGGGTTGACCCAGGGGGGGCTTACTAGACATTTTACGCAACCCCATTTGAACACCAGAAGACATGATTGGTTTACTTTTCTCGCGGGCCACAATTGTCCTAAAATTGAACAGGGGGGGCCGGGTCAGGAGCAGAAAGAAAGAGCGTTCGTGTGAACTAATATAAATTACATGTAAAAGTCATGCATAAAGGCTAAAATGCTAAAATGCTTTTAAAGTTTGGCAAGCCCTATTTTAAAAGCTGAATGGGCCACATCTGGTCCCTGGGCCTTAGTTTGCCCATGCCTGCTTTAAGGTCTCACTTAGGGGTCGACATTATGGCCAGTGGTGCATTTTAACTTTAATTTTATGTCAATATAAACGTAAGAGAACAACAACGGAGGGCAACAGTGCCTACTATTGCTGTGTTAGTAATGTAAGCCACAGAAAATCAACTGTGTCCCAGATACAAGTCGCCATTAGCTGCATTGGCCTTTTTATAGAAACTTAAAAAAAAAAAAAGAAGATAGAAATCACATTTTAGAATAAACATTTCAGACTTATTTGACATGGGGGGGGGGAGTCAGACTGTCAAATATAAATACACTTTTCATGATTTTACCATAAATAGTGACAGACACCTGCTCTCTTTCTCTCTCTCTCTCTCTCTCTTGCGCACCCCCTCTCTCTTTTAAACACACATACACACACATACACACAGTTGCTGGCGTAAGGAATGCACAGGCAGCAGGTTCACTTGAGGTCCAATGACAAATGATGAGAGTTCAAGACACAATTTCAGAACTAAATATATATGAATATATATATAAATATATATATATATATAACTTTACTTTAAAAAAAAAAAAAAAATTCTCGCCCCGACCCCAGGTTATGGTATAGATAAAGCGGTTAGGTTCTGCTGCCCTGTCTTGTTAATGTGCGCGCTTCGTGTCGCAGAAATCCGCTGGGCTCTTTCCTCTGTACAGGCCTGAAGATGATGATGGTGATGAGGATGATGATGCGACTGTGACGTCATCGACGTGATAACCGAGCACAGACCGGGTGAAAAAAAAAAAAACCGGAGCTAAAACACACATCACCGCGGTCAGCATCACGTCACTGCTGGATTTTCCTATTAATATTTGATATCAATATCGAGTTTTACTCCCATTCTCTCTCTCTCTCTCTCTCTCACACACACACACACACACACGCACACGTATCGACATGCACGCACACTATATTCACAATGAAAAGAGGAGCGGGCCCTTACTGCGCTTCTCTGGGGCCCTGCATTTTCTGTCATTTTTAATACAATTTTCTAGCTACTGACCGCGGCTCTTACCGTGCTGATGGCCGGTTTATGGACGAAAAAGGGTGCCTGTTCAGCTGCTCTGTTCTAGTGGTCTGTGCTCACGGAGTGATGAGTCGCCGCTGCTGCTTCACCGACCGGGTTATGTCGCTAATAGAGCACCAGCAGGACCCTATGCCAGGCACAAGCTCCGCCCCTTTAATTCAACGTCATCCCAGCGTGCTCATGCCCCCATCCATCCATCCATCTATCTATCTGTCTCTCTCTCTCTCTATCTACAGTATCTATTATTCGCAGCACACACAACCCCAAACGTTAATGTACATTATAAATGTGTGATATTATATAAATGTTATATATAATATATATGTTTTTTATCAAACACAAATACTTACTCTACATTAAGATTTAATTACATGAATAACAAAACACAACTATAAATAAGAAAAAAAATAAAATAAAAGATTATTCAAGTATCCATTTTATATAATGACATTTGTCAGTACTAACATTCTTTAAGAAAAAAAAAACATGTGTTTCCTAGTCTGTCTCACTACAAGGTCAAAGATACTGTGTTGCCTTGATTTAGTGTTATCGCGAACGTGCATTTAGACCTTCAGTCATCATTAAAAGAACATTTTCTCCATTCAAATCCTGGCTGCTACAAAAATATTAATTAAAAAAGGGTGGTATGTTAAACAATACAAAAATATATATGTGGTAACATTAAAAAAAATATAAAAATATATAAAAATATATATAAAATATATAAATATATATATGTCTTTTTAATATATATGATTTGCTGATTTGGAAAAGCTACTTCTGTATTCTGTTTAAACTGTTGAAATATTGAATAAATAAAATGTATTTCATTCCATTATTTGTCATTGGAAATTCCTATATATATATATATATGTGATATATATATAAATGTATAAATGTATGTATATATGTAGATATATACTGTATGTATATGTGTGTATATACATATATAGTGCTTATATATACATATACATATATGTATACACATATAGCACACACACATTGAACACTTCAACATTTTCCTAAGTAAATATAATTCGAAAATTCGAATATTGTCATGAATGTTTCATCAGATGTCAGTAATAACCCATGCAATCCAGACATGCGAAGAAATCAAAAATAAATATTTTAAAAATTAAAGTTGTGTAATAGAACAGAATGACACAGGGGAAAAATGTATTAAATACACTAACTCAAAAATATTCTACCTAAAGTAATACAAAAGCCTTTGTCGCTGATGACAACTTCAGGACGACACCTGTAGAGAAACTAGCTGCATGCATAGCTAAGGTGTGACTTTGGCCCATTCTTCCACACAAACCATCTTCAAATCTTGAAGGTTCCGTGGGCCTCCTTCTATGAACCTTTTTCTATTGGATTTTCTTTTGGATTCAAGTCATTCTAGCAACTTTCTATTTTCTTTCTCTGAAACCTACTGAGAGTTTATTTACCTGTGTGTTTGGGATCTCTCTCTTGCTGAAATGTCAACTATCGTTTTACCTTCATCATCCTGGCAGATGACAGCATGCTTTGCTCTCAGTATTTCACCGGCTTGTCTCCATGTTGTACTGCAAACTTGAAATGTGCTTCAATATGCTATTTCTTCCGCAATGGAGTCCTTCACTTCGAGGATGCATACAGGTCATGGCGGTTAAGAACATTACTTGCTTACCATTACTTACCAAGCTTTTGTGTCTTGTTAGGGAATGAAAAATGACTCAATGGGACACGAATATATTTTTTTAAGCAATTTATTGTTTATTGTTAAGTGTTATGCCAGGTTTAGCGACAAATATACTTTAAACTTGTTAAAAAAATTGTTGGATTTTTTTTAATCTATACTAAAATGTATATATATATAAAATATATATAAAATATATATAAAATATATATATAATATATATAAAATATATATAAAATATATATAAAATATATATAAAAATATATATATAAAAGTGCATATATATACAGATATATTGATCCTATATTTGGGAAATTCTTGTTTTAACAGCAGATATGCTCTTAACAGGCTGCCCCCAGCAGGTGCCAAGCATGTGGTTCCTCTGGTAATTGAACCCAGGACTCTCTGGTCTCTGTTTCCGAGGCAGGCGTTTTTCTTTACTATTATTTGGTATTTAAAAAAAAAAACTGTTTAAGATTATGCCAATATATATAGTATTTCAGAGGCTGTTTAGATCATCATTTCACAGTTTTCAACAACTACCATATTTTAGTGTTGCATTTTACTGCATGGTTACACCATTTAGACAAGTTTGCCCTTATTGTCTCAATATTATCTCAAAACTTCACCAAATCAGTTATTTCAAAATAGGGGGCTGAGAAAAAAAGTCAAAAAGTCAAACTCTTAAAGCTTCTTAACATGATGATTTTTTTTGTTATTACACAGAAATGAACAACAATTGTAACTTGAATAAAAAAATTATCAATTGCAGAAAAGATTTGTTAATATGTTATGGAGTAATTACATCTATATAGTCAATTTACAATTGAACCGAACAGGGAGCCCCGTCGGTGAAAATGAGTTGTCACCCCTGAAGTAAATTATAACATTATTATGGCTTCAAACCTCAAGGACAGAAAAAAATGAGTTGACATGTCTTTCGTTGACCAAAAGAAAGTGAATACAATGGGGCTTCAAGATATGAGTTTAATCTGTTCCACAACAGCACTCATCAAGTCAATCTTATCTTGATTGAATTTTCTCAATTAGAAATAAATAAAAATCAATTCATTCATTCAAATTTCCCCCAGAAATTTGCTATTAATTAATTAAATAACTCCTCCATCTAAACATCAAAAAATAATAAATAAATAAAGCAATATATTGATAATATAAAATAAATATAATTAAGAAAAGATTTGATATTATTGTTACAAAAATGGGACAAAAATAACCCAGCGAGGGAGAATAAGCGACCGGGTGTCAGGAAAATCTTGCGAAAGTTGTTTACTTGTAGCTTGTATTTTGGGTAGCCCGTATCTTAAAGCCCCACAGTATATTTGTGAGGTCCATAATATTGGGACTGGATTAAATGTGAATCTGCAAACTCTAACAAGAAACAGGTGGTAAGGATTAGGTAGGACACATAAGAGCATAGTTCTAATTACTGGGGAAAATGGGGGTTGGTACATGCTGACACCCCTTTAAGGAGACAATAATAACAGATGGGGGGTGAGGGGTTGTATCTTGCTTTGTTTGGGAAGGTGAGAGGGGGCAGGGATTTGTGTTTCAGATTTGCTCTATGGACTTATCTTTCGATGCATATAAAATGCGGTTGTTTCAAATGATGGAATGTCAGAAATATCAATTTAGCCTAAAAGGTGCTTATTACAAATGTACAACATTGTGCTTTTAGTGCCTGTTCTCAATGAGGTTTTATTTTTGGATGTGGAAGCCCTCTCAGTTTGACCTTTGGGTTCACACTAGGGATGCACCAAATACTTGGCCACTAAATATTTTCGGCCGTAAATAGCCCAAAAGTGCATTTTCGGTTTTTGGCCGAAAGACTTTTATCACCGAAACAAAACGGTCAAAACAGGAATTTATGAGGACAAAAGCAAAAAAAAAAAAAAAAATGATAATGAGAAAGGGGGGACCCCTTAAACTCTTTTTCGATTTTTTTTTTTTTGAGATCATCTTTTATTTGATCTACATGTGTCCACTGTGAGTACAGAAAATCTTTGGAGAGACTGGAGGTGTTTATTGTTATTATTATTACATTACTTTATCACATTTGGTCCTGATGAGATTGTTGGCTAACTGTTTTGGTCCATATCTAATACTTTGCTCCACACATTGTTTCTCAATATATCTAAATAATATACAGTATATATATATATGTACATATATATATATAATATCAAGCATATTAGTTTAAAATGTTATACAATGGGGCTATAAGATACGAGTTTAATCTGTTCCACAACAGCAATTGTGTGTTGATCGGCTCATATCTCAATTGCACTTTCCCTATTAAAAATAATTAAAAACCAATTAATTTGTTCGTGAATTAAAATCCTCCGATCTAAACATCAAAAACATAGGTATAAAAACGGTAGAATAACCCAGCGAGGGACAGCATCACAAGGAAAAGCTTGCGAAGTTGCTTACTGTTCTCGGGTATTTCGGGTAACTCGTATCTTGAAGCCCCATCCGACTTATTTAATGTTTCCAATGTTATATTAAATACAGTTTGTTTCATCAGTAACATACACTATCACTGAAACAGTTTCATAACAATTGTAACCAACATAACTGAAGTCTACTCTGCGAGTTGATAAAACCAAAATCAATAAAGAAGCACTTTTTTTTTACGTGTTTTTGATTTGATTTTTTATTTTGTATTAAATATATCAAGCCGATGATGGTTTCCTTCTACAGTTCATTATCATGTAGGTGATTTTTTTTTTTACTCTAAATTGACTATAGGTATGAATGTGACTTTGAATGGTTTTTATATATTGTAGCTCATAGATAGACTTTAATCTATCCAGTGTGTACTCTGTACATGAGTTCTGGGATTGGCTCCAGCCCCATGAATGAATGAATGAATGACATAATCAGCTGATTTTTTTTTTCTTTTGAATAAAGAAACATTGCAGTTCAAAACACTCTCATGACATATTATATTTAAAGAGAAATACTAGTAATAAATAGTTCATGTTTTTCTGTACCTACATTTCTCCTGACTTCACTTTTCACCATTCATGACCTTCATTTATATATTATATAAACACCCATGGCAGCCTTATGTGTAGTGTACTCAGTCACATACAGAATTACGTAATGCCCTGCAACCTACATACAGTTCGACCTTCATCCATGTGAGTCAGTGTGGTGAGCTGTGCTTCCGTAACCTCATTTTTGTTTGGCTTTCCTCTTTTATCTGGAGGCACCCCCCGCCACTGGTCTGTATGTAATACGATTGGCACAGTCATTACGCTGAATGCCCTAATGAAGACGGTGGTGGAATGTGTGTGTGGGGGGCGGGTGGGCGGAGGTGAGGAGGTGGGGCGATTGCAGTAGATTTCCATTCCAGACCTATTGTTTGATACCAACGATGTCATCACTGGACTTCTAATCCTCTCCTTGTCTCTTTGGACAACGTGATATTGTGGCAAAAATACATAGACTTACTTATCCTTAATATTCTGAAATAAACAAAACTGATATGAATGAAATAATTGTAGAAAAAATTACTTCGCTTTTACAGTTTGAAAATGTCCTAGTTGATGATGTGACGTGATTATGACTCACGTCAGGGACCACCCCAAAAAGTAGATTTCCGAGCATTTTTTTTGATTGGGAGAAATACATTTCCCACAATCCTTTGGCTTGACATCTGGCCAATCCTGGCTATGACAGTTTTGTCACGTGACCCAGAGAGAGTTCCTGCTTGTGGCTTCAAAGAAACAACTCATCGACAACAATTCACGGAAAAATCGCACTTTGCGGGTGAGTTTGGGGATTTTACCACCGCACAGTTATTCGACGTATCCTGAAGTGTACATTGATAATAGACACACGGGGTCTTTGTCTGCCGCTGTCAAGAATTACGCCATATTCTCGGGGACGAGATGCCGTAGTGTGTAGGCCTCTGCTATTTCCTGGTACGGCTCCACCGCTGCACCTACCGGAGAGATTAAGTTGGCAAAGTTTAGTGGATAGGGTTCCTCTGAGAAGTACTTTGCCCTTTTCTACCTTCTCAGCTACTGTAATGGCACATGCTCATTTACACGAGTCTTGTCGCAACTGCGAATCAACTTAAAGTGAATCTAACATAGTCCATAGTTGTGTCTGTCAACATAACGCAATGCCTTTCAACAACACTGCATTAGTCTGTGTGAAAAGCTACCTGGGTTGTACTAATGCACAAGCCCTACTTTGTTCTCTGTTGAAACACCTGTGTTTCGTTTCATCAGCTGCTGATATTATGTTTTGTGTTTGTGTCTGTACAAAAATTCGAATACTGGTAGGTTTCGTCCTTTGTTGCAGGTCGTTGTATATAAATCTCGATAAAAAACAATGTTAGATAATATAAATGAACACGTTTTTACACATATCGTCAACGCATTTAATGTAAAATCTACCAATTTCGTAAAAAAAAAAAACACCCTCTGTGAACCCAACAATCAAATGGGTTGTACAGTGCAACATGCTGATCTCGCAGTCTTTGGCGTCACTCCTGTTCCTTTCTGAATTAGTAGGCACTGTGCTTCTGTGCATGGCTTGACTTGTTTTCTGTTTGTGCAGCATGTCTTAGTCTGTTGGACATACAGTATGTTACTGTCTTAGTCTGTTGGACATACAGTATGTAATGAAACATACCTGAAGGCAAAAATACCACAACTACATCTAGATATAGATACATTTCAAACATTTGCCCGTGTTATTTTGAGGATAAATCCACTTTTTAAAATGTTTTTATGGTCATCAAGTAGTCATTAGACGTTGTCAGACATTGTTATCCACACAGCAGGAGTTGCCACATTTTTTATAAACGGCCATAACTGACAATTGGCTGGAAAGTCACACCACGTCATTGTCCAGTCAGCATTTCCCCTATTTTTTTACGACCTTGAATAAAGGTGTTGCAGCTGTTACTGCTCGATAAATGCGTTAAGCTACTAAAAACAAAAGTGCAATTCACTTTTGAGTTGAAAAATTGAAAGTAAATAAATAGGGTCTGGATGCTCCAGCTAACAGTCTGTTTATTTTTCAGCTTGTGGAAGCCCCCACCCTAAAAATGGCCTCACCAGTCTCTGTCTATAACTCCAATGCTGTGGACACACACATCTCCAGCGTAAGTGTGAAGAACATTGAATGTTAAGTCTCTTTTTTTTGAGTCTTTTTTCCTGAGAAACGTAGCTGCTTGTTATTGACTATTAGCCATCCAGTGCGACCTCGACGCTAATTCTATCAAGATACATTGAGAAAATCGAACAAATTAAATAAGGCTTAAATAGGAAGTATTGCTCAAATACCGTATCAATACAATTGCTTGAATCAATTGTCATTGATGGTTTGGTCAAACATAAATGCTAATTCAATGCAATTGGGTACATGGACACACACAGAGTATCCAACTGGTCTATCTTCCCATATGGGGAACTTCGTGTATTTTAATGGTTGTGGATCTTAACAAGGAACTATGTTTGCTGAGTTTAGTGTCTCAAAAGACTCTTTATGTATCAATACATACATTTCTCCACTGCGGGCTGCTTTTGCAGTGTAAGGCTGTGCAAAAACACTACATAAAGTGTGCTGATGTGGTCCATTGGTCTCATAAAGTCTTATTGGATTATCCACTGGTCTTAGTGACAAGCCCAACTGTTCAACTCCTTTAGAGTACAATTAGAGACATCGTATTTTGCAAATAAGTACTGGGTTTATTTATTTATTTATTTTTTGCCTACATGTGCTGGCTTAAAAAAA